GTGTGAAGTAATACAGAGTGAAGAAATCGGAAGTAGGAGATACACTATGGACTACAACTATAAAATGAACCTGATTCCACAAGTTGTGTGCTAAAAAATACACTATAGAAAAGGATCAGCTGAGACCCGAGGAAGCCAATGGGTCGTTTGTGTTATGTTAATTTGTTAAATTTGCTACAGGGATGTTCAACAGTGGAGAGATGACTTTTCTCTATTTAAAACAATAGGAAGTATTGGGGACAAAGTAGACTTGATTTCATTACAGTAAATTATGTAAAACAAGGTATATGCTATAAACACATATTCACCTAGGCATGCACACACATATGCATCACTGAAAGAAAAAGAAAAACAACAGAGCGGAGGAAAATACAAATGGTACACACCCCAGATAAAATCCTGACCTTTCAATACATCACATCAATACGTCCAGGACCTGAAATTTCACTGGTGTGGGGAGTCCCTCCCTAAGTGAAGGGCCCAACCTGGGGCTACCTGGCTTAGAGTGGGGGAATGTCTTGCCCCTACTATGGCCAGTGATCGCAAAAGGCGGGATGTATATGGAATGGTTAAATATTTGGGGAAAATTGTTAAATGTTCCAAGTTCACAATAAACAAGAAAAGACATAATTTTCTTTCTTTTAAAAGTTTTGCTGAGGGGATAATTCATTTCTGAATCTATCTCTCTTCATCTCCTCCCTAAGGAAATTTCCTTTCTAACAAAGATTTTAGGAAACACTGATTGTTAACAATAATTTGAAAAATAGCTCAGCCTCTGCCATCATCACTTAAAACACCTCTGAGGGGTCTGCCCGCTCCCTTTAAACTGACAAAAATGATTCAAAGCAATCAAACTGTGAGGGCCATGAGGAGCTGGGTCCACTCATCTCCTGTGGGAAGAATGCTGGTTTCAGCCTCTTTCTGGAGAGCACTCTGGTGGTGCCCAGTAAAAATGACCCGACCTTCTGACCCAATGATTGCACAGTTGGGAATGTGAGTGTGTGTCAAAGACAAATCAACAAAAAAAGAGCCATGTATACAAAGAATTCCACAGCAGTGCTATCTGTAACTGAGAAAAACCAGAAGTAACCCAAATGTACACCAAAGAAACCGTGGCTCTGTCGTGGTATGGGACTCAGTGGCATGTTTTAGATGTTATGTTAAGAGAATACAAAGAAATCTGCCATCTCTCTTCGTGGAAGAAGGCAAAGTGAAAGAATCCAGGAAGAAGAGACCACCCACCCAGACCATGTAACAGGAAGCAGAGTGGGAATAACCAGGACTGGCCTGGACATGAGCCCAAACAGGCTGGATCAGCCCCTACCCAGTGGGCCACCCCCTCCAGGGTTGTCTCTCCCACTGGGAACGTGAGCTCCCTGAGGGCAGCTCTCCCTCTTCTCCCTACATTTGCGGCCTCCAAGGCTTCTTCCTGCCTTCCTTCACCTTGTCCTGTTATCCCCACGCCCTCTGAGACCCCAGCCCTGCAGGATTCCCACCACCTGCCTCCTCCAGCCCTCATATGTGGTGGAGGAAGCCAATGGGCTACCCTTCAGGCCCACCTCCAACACCAGCCACAGCCACTGGAGCAGGCAGACCTCAGTCTTCTCTGCCTATGGCTGTTGGCCCAATCCTTCTCTTCTCCTCAGACTGCCCCCACTGCAAACTTCCTACCTCAGACTGAGAAAAGCAAGGCCATCCCCCCTAGCCTCTCCGGGCTTTGTCTCTTCTACTTCAGCGTCTAACGAGGAGGTGGCCCTTCTCTTCATCAAGGCCACCCCGCCCAGCATCTCCACCCTTCATCTTCTTCACTTAAGCTTCTAATGAGCAGGTGGCCCTTCTCCTCATCAAGGCCATCCCTCCAGCATCTCCACCCTTTGTCTCCTCCACTTCAGCTTCTAATGAGGAGGTGGCCCTTGTCCTCATCAAGGCCATCCCCCCTAGCATCTCCACCCTTTGTCTCCTCCACTTCAGCTTCTAATGAGGAGGTGGCCTTCTCTTCATCAAGGCCATCTCTCTCTACATGGACCCTTAATCCCCCCCCTCCGCTACCGTCTCCTGGGGCAGACTCCTCCCACAACTAGCCCACTCTCTCTCTAAACTTTAATCACTTCCTATCCACAGGCTCATTCCCCGTAGTCTACAAATACACCCAGGTCTCCTCCATGCTTAAAAAATCCTCCCTTATTTTACCATTTCCTCATGGGAACATATCTTTTATACAGCCAAACTCCCTGAAAAAAACTATCTGTGACCCACTTCCATTTCCCCTCCTCTCTTAGGCAGCTTGCTAGCACAGAGGGTAAAGTGCTGAGGCAGGAACCAGAAAGGCCAGAGTTCTGATGTGAACTAATTTACTGGCTGTGTGACCCTGGGCAAGTTACTAAACTTCTGCTTGCTTCACTATCCTGAATTGTAAAATGGAGACCATAATAGCACCTCCGTGCCAGGGTTATTGTGAAGATCTTGTGAGATGATACTGTGGCCCAGGGCACATGATGTTTGTTTCTTTCCTCCCTCCTCCCTTCCTCTCATTCACTTTTTTTTTTTGGTGAGGCAATTGTGGTTAAGTGACTTGCCCAGGGTCACACAGTTCTCTCACTCACTTTTATAACCTGTTGCAGTCAGACTTAGGACCAATCTCTTTCCATCTGCTGACTGATTCTCCACTGCCTACATACAAAACCATGTCTCCCTTATCTTAAAAACCCACCATTCATTCTGTCCATCCTGTATCTCACCTCCCTTTTCTGGCTAACTTCCCTGGGAAAACCATCTCTCACTGGTGCCTCCACTTCTTCTCTTCTCTCTTCTCCAGTCTGGCTTCCAACCTCTCTCCAAAGTCCATGATCTCGATGGAGACACAGTTAGGGGTGAGAGGAAACCCAGGAGAGGGCCATGAAAACCCAGAGGAAGAGAATGTGCAGGAGGAGAGGGCAACGGACAGCATCAAAGGCAGCAGAGATGCTGAGGAGGGTGAGCATTGAGAAAAGGGCACCGGACTTGGCAACGAGGGATCTCTGGAACCTTTGGTCTCAGCTGAATGATGAGGGCAGAGGCAGCTGCAAAGGTAGAAGGAGAAAGTGAGGAAAGTAGAAGCAGGAGAAGCTGGAGGAAGGAAAGCACCTTTTCCCTCGGGGTTTGGCTGAGCAAGGCAGGAATAAAGGGGGATAATGAGGAGAATGTAGGAGATAAGGAAGGATGGGGGAGGTCTGGCCATGTGCAAAGACAGTGGGAAGGAAGCAGGAGGTAGGGAGAAGATGAAGATTCAAGCGAGTGGGGGAATGAGGCTTTGATCTGCTGGAGATGACAGAGGGAGGGGATCAGGGGCACCCATGGAGGGGCTGGCTCTGGCAAGGACTGTGGGAAAGGAAGACAGAGTAGATAATGATGCTGAAGGGTTTTGAGGCGAAGCGAAGGGAAGGAGAGCTGGTGAGGAATGACCTTGGTTTTCTCAGGAAAGTAAGAAGGGAGCCCTCAGCTGAGAGCCAGGAACAAGCTGGAGGGGACAAGAGAAGGCCTGGAATAGCTTCTCTGGGGGCCTGGGGAGGAGGAATCAGAGGATAGACTCCCACTCCAATGAGGGCTGATAATACCACCAGAAAACAGGCTCTCATCACTTCTTGCCTGGCCTCTTGTAATCAGCCTCCTCTCCACATCTGTGTTGGGTTTTATATTTAAACAATTCCTTGTTCTTTAAGTCTCACCCCACCCCGAGCCATCTGCCATCAGGCTGACCAAGCTCGATACTCATTGGCTCTACAGACTCCAGTGACCCCCTATTACCCTGAGGATCAGTGACCAGGGCCTGCTTTTCTGGGAAAGCCTCCCTACCCAGCGCCAACCCACCTTTCTCTCCACCATGCCCCTTGGGTCCAGCCCTAATGGCCCCCCAAAGCTCCTCTCCCACAACTTCTCATCTCCCATCTCTGTGCTGCCCACAGCCTGGAATCCCTTCCTCCCCACTTCCCCTTCTCAGAATCCCGAGCCTCCCTCAAAGCCCACTTCAAACACCATTGCCTACAGGAAGCCTTTACTTACCCCCAAGCTCTTCAGGCCCTCCCCAAAACTGCCTTTTGTGATTATTGTTAATAATGGTAACTAGTATTAAGACTTCAAATACTGCAATGCCCTTCATAGTTATGAAGACAACACAGAACCTGGAAAGTCTTATAGAAACTGAAGCAGACTGAACCAAGAACATAACTGCACTACCCTTTGACCCAGCAATAGCACTTCTAGGGCAATATCCCAAAGAGATCAAACGGGAAAAGGACCCCCCATGTACAAAAATATTCATAGCAGCTCTTTCTGTGGTGGCAAAGAATTGGAAGTTGAGAGGATGCCCATCCATTGCGGAATGGCTGAGCAAGTTGTGGCATATAAATGTAATGGAATACTATTGTTCTATAAGAAATGATGAACAGGCTGACTTCAGAAAAACCTGGCAAGACTTGTATGGACTGATGCTGAGTGAAGCAAGCAGAACCAGAAGAACGGTGTACATAGTAACAGCCACGTTGTGCCATGACCGACTTTGATAGATTTAACCCTTCTCGGCCATGCAAGGATCTATGACATCTTCAAGTCTCATGATGGAAAATGCTGTCCACATCCAGAGAAAGAACTATGGAGTTGGAATGCAGATCAAGGCAGACTATTTGCTCTTTTTTTTTCTTCTGTTATATTTTCTTTCCTCTTTCTGGTGGTTCCTCCTATTGGTTCTAATTCTTCCTTACAACATGACTAATGTGAAAATGTTTAATAGGAATGTATATGTATAGCCTATATCAGATTACACGCAGTCTTGGGGAGAGAGGGGGAGAAAAATTTAAAACTCATCGGATGGACTTAGAGAACACTAAAAGGGAGAATGGGACCGGGGGAATGCGCTGGCACCGAGCGTCGGTGGCTCCACACTGGTGCGTGTCCCTCTTTCCTCCTGGCGGACTAAAGGGATGGATCGCTAGGGCGGGGGGGGGGGGGGGGTTGCTCTCGAGAGCATGCGCACAAGCCTCTCCTGGCCTCCGCACTACTTTTCCCAGCAACCCGTCGTAGCTGACAATCAGGCTGCGTCTCGTGACGTCACTTCCGCCACAACAACCTGCCTGCCACCGGAAACCAGTCGCTTCCAGGTTTCGGCCGTCTTCTGCTGCCTGCGGCCGCTCGGTTCCCCTGGCGCCTTGTTTGAATGCGGGCCCTGGGTCAGCCCGGGCCAAGGGGAGACTCCGCCTGGGACCGAGGTAGGCCCTGGCGGGTGCCGCGGTGCAAAAGGAGGCACGGCCTCGGAATCTGCGCCTCTTGGCTTTCCTCCCGCTGTGCCTGGACTCGGGTTGGGGCGGGGAGAGGCCGAGCCAGCTGCACCTGCGCACTTCCTCCCCTGCCTGTCTGCCCGTCCTCTCCGCCAGCTGGCGCGTTCGTTGGACCGCGCGAGGGCGGGGCTGGAACTGGGGCCCAATCAGGCGCCGCCGCTGGCTCTTGCTTTGATACTTTTCTCTTATGACGTCTCTGCTCCTCCCTCCTTTCAACCTGCCCAAAATTTACCCCCTGGACCCTGGTGCTGCCCCTCCCTCCGGCCATGTGACCCTGTCTCACTTGCGCGGGCTGGACGCCCTTCCTCAAAGGGCCTGAACTCGAGGCCCGCAGTCAGTCAGCAAACACCCAGAGAAGCGTCTTGTGCTTGTGCCCAGGCAGTGGCCCCTTCCTTACTCCTAGAGGGGCAGATGCTGGAGGGGCTGCCGGCAAAGGGGTGCACACTCATGCATTGTTGGTGGAGTTGCCGTCGCCGTCCTGGTCATTCTAGAAAGTAGTCAAGTCAGCAGGCATTTAGTAAAGGCTCCTCGGAGCCAGACGCAGTGCTAAAGCCATTTGGAACCAATTAGGTCCCCAAACTATCCCGGAGGGAGCAGAGACAAAACAGGAAAGATTGGTGTCACTTGGTGGAGATGAGGTGCGGAGCAGCATGTAATAATATGAGAATAGATAAGGTCACATTGCACTTTACACGTTTTCTACATGATGCTAACAATGCTTGAGGGGAGGTGCTGTTATTATTCTCCCTACTTTGCATATGAGGCAACTCAGGCAGAGAGAAGTCACACAGTGAGTCAGGATTTGAACTCAGAGCTCCCTCCTTCCAAAGGCTGGTATTCAGTGCCTCCTGCTGATGAGGTTTGTGAGGTTCAGAATCAGGTTGTCGGGAACGAATTCAGGAGGCAGACATTCTCCTAGTCAAGAGGGCTTTATTGATGTAGAAGCGGCCGGCCAGTCCTTAGGGATGCTAGCAGTTTGAGAAAAGAGGGGCCTGTCTTTATACACTAGTCTTGGGTACTCAGCCAGGAGTGGGGTGTGCACCTCCGTGGGCAGTTAACCACAGCAAAGGAGAAGCAGGTGTGCTGGGTACACTTCAAAAAGTCAAGGCTGTGGTCACAAAACAGGGAGCTTAGCTTGCAATATTCAAGGACATGGAGAGTGTTGGCTAAAATAACAAGGTTTTCTTGGTATCGGTAGAGCCGGCTGTTGCTGGGCAGCTTTAGATTCAGGCACGGCTCTCATTGTTGCTGGGCAGGGGTCAGCCTGTCCTCAGTGCCACCCAGCTGCTTCCAGGTGTTCGCAGATACGTACAGGGTGTAGACCATATAACCACATGGTAATTGGGATGGGGCTCTGACCATTGTGGGCCTCAGGCCCTAAGAGGCCAAGACGGGGAAGGGCATTGCAGGCCTGAGGAGCAGCCTGTGCAAAGGCCTGGCCTGGGGAAGGAAATGGTGGGAGGTCCTCTCCTGAGGAGCAGCACAGATGTGCGGGGCCCCTGGGGCAGCTCTTGAATGGAGGCACAGCAGGGCCAGACCCAAGCGTCAGGAGAACCAGTTCAGTCATTTTTCTGGAGAGTCAGTCGATGAGGGCAGAGACCGGCCCAGGGAGAGTGGTTCACAGGCCTTTGGGACAGATGATGTTGGAGGAGACGAGGGCCTGGGCTTGAGTGGTTGGCCTGGAGAGAAGGGGCTGAATGAGTGGCCTGTCACTTCTGTGGATGCCCTCCAGCTCATGCTTGTCCTCTCGGCTGGAGGTGCCAGAGCCCACCCCAGTCCATTCCCTGCACCTAGCCCAAAGCTTGGCACATAGCAAGTGCTTATAAACGCCTTTTCATGCTGTTCCTCCTCCCTCTCTTCCCATCTTCCCCATGCTTTTTCCCTTCTTAACATCTTTTTCTTCCCCTTCTTCAAGTCCCTTCCTCCTCTTCCCCATCATTGTCCCCCTTCATCCCGTCTTTCTCCTTTCTTTTCTTTTTCTTCTGTTCTTCCCGATATTTGTCTTTCCTTCTCTCTATCTCCTTCCTTCTACCTCTCAGTCTTCCTCCTCATTCCTTGTTCTTAACCAAAGCCCTTTGAACTTCTGTGTTTTGGGGGAAATTATTTAATAAGGGATTTCAATATAACTGGTTTTCTTTGTAATTCTATGTGTTTGATTAATTTTAAAATATTATTCTGAGAGCTGGTCCCCAGGCTTCTTTAGATTGCCAAAGGGATCCATAAAACAAAAAAGATTGGGAACTCCTGTTCTTCCCTCTCAAATCCATCCTCCACGCAGCTGCCACACTGACCCAGGTCCAAAGTCCAGGTGGGAGCACTCTGTTGTCTGCTCAGAAGCTTGCAGGGTTCCCTCTAGCCTATAGGACAAAACATAGACTCCTCCTCTTGACATCAGGGGCCCCCACAGTCAGACTCCAACCTTCTTTCCAGATCCTTTCCCATGACTCTCCTTACCTGCTACATCTCCCAGGCAAACTGGAGCAGGAAGATGTTTTCTGCCCTTGACATTCCGTGTCCTCCTTCCATGCTCTTCTCTCGTGTCCCTACAGCCCCCACACCTGGAAGGCTTTCATTGCCCTCCTCTGCCCCTGGTGGTCCTTGCCATCCTTCAGACCTCATCTCTGCAGCCAGATCTGCTGTGAAATCTGTGCTCCCCCCTCCACTTCTTAGCACTTTTTCCATTTTCTAAGTATCTCCTTTTTTCCTGTCTGTACATGTTCTATTCCCCCAGTAGAATGTAAGCTCTGGGAGGACAGGGAATGTTCTGTTTCTGTTCCTGTATTCCTCAGTGGACAGTAGGATGGTGCCTGGCACTTAGTAGGTGCTTCATTTGTGTTGGTTGGATGGAATGGAGTGGTTGGACTAGTCCATGAGCTCCCTCTAATCTCTCTCCAACCAGGAAGAATGTTAGGATTTCCAGGCCATGGGTCTGAACACAGCAGGGCCAATTCCTCTGATGTCTGCTTTTTGCTCCCCAGGGCTGATGGCTGAGGAGTCTCAGTTTCCCCAGAGGTAAAAGCATTGAGCAAAGCTATGGCCCTTGTTCTTCTCCCTCCCGTGGCTCACTAGGTAAGCAGGAGTAGTTTTTGTTTTTTCTGAAATAAATACCTGAGATCTCCAATTGGAAATATGTTCCCTTCCCATATCCTCCGACTCAAGAAGCTGAGCCCATCGGGAACCAGGCCGAGGTGGTGCCTTGGAGATCTTGCATCCAGTCCCCTCTTTTTTATTTATTTATTTTTTTTGTTTTTTTGTTTTTCTTTTTTTTAGGCAATTGGGGTTAAGTGACTTGCCCAGGGTCACACAGCTAGTACGTGTCAAATGTTTGGACTGAGGCCAGATTTGAACTCAGGTACTCCTGACTTAAGGACCAGTGCTCTATCCTCTGCACCACCTAGCTGTCCCAGTCCCCTCTTTTTTACAGAGGAGAAGACTGAGGCCTAGGATGGGGCAGGGACTCATCCAGGGTCACACGAGTTATGAGCAGCCTAGCCAGCACCTCCAGCCCTTTCCTGGGGGTGTTTCCCCCTTGCCTGCTGTCCTTGCCTTCCCCTCTGCATCCTTTGTCAAGGGATTCAGTCCCACCCTATGCCCTGGACTGAGCTGGCTGCTGAGAGAGATGTCACAAATGCTTAATGATGATAGAAAATACTTATACCCCACTTGAAGATTTAAAATCTGGAATCACAGAAGCCTGTTGGTGTTGAAAAAATAACATTCCCATTTTATAGATGAAGAAACCGAGTATCAGAGGGGAGGTGTTCCTTGTCTAGGAGTGTCCTGATAGTAAATGCTGGAGCCAGGCCTCCAGAGGGGAGAAGAAGCTGCTGGCTCCTCTCTGCCCCCATTCTCTTCCCCTCCCACTGTAAGACCAGAGGAATTCAGGAGTAGCCATGGCACATGTGTAGATCGTGTGCTGTTCTGTGGTGTTTGATTGTTACAGATCCAAAGGGAGTCCAAGTCGGTCAGTCCACAGACATTAAATAGGTGCTGTATACACCAGGCATTCTGTGTTTAAGGTCTGTGTCTCGGCTTGTCTCTCTCTGGCATCATCCCTGCCCTTGTGGCTCACCGTTGCCAGCCACCCCTTCTCCTGCTCCTTGTGCCCCGCTGAAGGCTTTGTGCTTTGGGGTTTGTTTCAGGAGAGGGCTGATTCTTCTGCCTTCCCTGTGGCCTCTGGTTCTGTTAGGTCAGGCTTGTTCACAGATCTGAACAGTCCTTGAAGTGTAGTGTTCTTCCAGGCTTTCCCCCATGGTGCTGTTCAGAAAGCCCACCGAGTCTCAGATTCTCTGTCCTTGACCCGTTTTCTGGGCCGGTTGTTTTTCGTATCTGGTAACTTGCATTTTCTTCCAGTTGTTCAGCCTTGCACTTTTGTCCCATGATTTCTCTCTAACTTCGGTCTGCCCTCATTTTCTAGGAGTCTCTCACTTTGGCTGTGGAGTTTACCACTTCCTGCTTTAGTCTGTCTTCCTTCTGTTTCTCTCCTCCTTTCCTTTTTTGTCTTATGCTTCATGTAATCTCTTCAGGGGCAGCTAGTAGATAGAGCCCTGGGCCTGGAGTTAGGAAGACTTGCCTTCCTGTGTTGGAGGCCAGCACCTGGTAGTGGGCCCCTAACCCCGTGAGAACACCACACCCCAAGCAGCTTGTTCCGGGACAAACCGTACCATAACGTGTTCCTGTCAGGGCTAACCGCAAGATGTCGCCACACCGCCCCTGGAAAGTCCCGGAGGCCCATTTTCCCCTTTTGCCCCTCCCCGCTTTTGCCCTATATAAGCTTGTAACGCTCAAAAATAAAATTAGACCTTGCCTACCATCCTTTTGGTCTCACTCCTCCTTTTCACCCATTCCCTTCAGCCAGGGTCCTCCTCGACCCCCCACGTATACTGGCCCTGCAGGTCGGGGCAAGTGGCGCCCAACGTGGGGCTCGAGGTCCGGACTTCTGCCAGGCGGACCAGCATTGAGAGACGATTCGTCGCGACCCCCTCCTTCTCATTGCTCATGAAGAGCCCCTGCGTTTTGGTAAGTTGAGTTTTCGTCCGCCTCATTCTAATCATGGGTTCCAACCTTTCTAAGGAGCAGGTCTTTATCCAAGACCTTAAGCATGCCCTTAAGGAGAGAGGAGTTAAAGTTAAGAAAAAGGACCTTTTGAAATTCTTTCTTTTTGTAGATGAGGTCTGCCCTTGGTTTATGGTTACCGGCCCAGATATTCATCCGGGAAAGTGGCAGAAGGTCGGGAGAGACCTCAATAGAAAGTTGCAAACTGAAGGGCCAGAGGCGGTCCCTCCCTCGGCTTTTTCTTACTGGGGTATCATCAGAGACATAGTGGAATCTGCCCCTGGGGACCCAGGCAAGCGCCAACTCCTTTCGGTGGCAGAGTTTTGTTTACGCCCCTTGTCGCGGGCAGCTTCTGTTAAATCGCTACAGCGCCCTTTATCACGAACCGCCTCTACAAAGTCATTAGAATCAGTGGGAAAAAGTCCCCCTAGACCCCCCTCCGTGGTCATTACCATTCCGCCGGAACCTCCAAAGCCTCTTTATCCTCCCCTCCCTGTGGAAACGGTCCCGGCTACTGAACCTTTAACACTGCCTATAATTGCAAAACACAAAACTCCTCCTTTAGGAGATCCTGACCCTGATACTCTAGATCCCGGGGACGAGGCGGAACTGGAGGAAGAAGCCGCCCGATATAATAACCCGGACTGGCCCATAACTCCCCAGTACCTACCCCCTCCCTACATATCCCAGACTTGCGCTCCTGCGCTTTTGCCCCCCATTCCCACTTCCTCAGCCCTCACATCCGCCAGAAGTCAACTCTCCACTCAAGTTAAGGAGCTCCGAGAAGTCTTAGATCTACAAAAGCAATATGCACAACTCTCTTCGGAACTGAGTTCCCTGCAACACTCCCTCCAGAATTCTGTCATTTTTTCCCCCAATAGGTCGCAGTTACATCAGAAACCCCTGAAAAAGATCAGAGCCAGTGCTAGAGATAAAAATCTAACAAGGCACAGCCCATGATATTCCCTGTTATGACCCGGTCTCGTCAGCCTGACTCCTCACACAACGACCCCAAGGAAGTTTCTGCCAGTGAAGGGGAGATGAGAGAGTGAGAGAAGAAGGGAAGAGGACGAGGGAGAGGGGGAGGGACAGGATGGAAAAATAGAAGAAGAGGAATGGGCAATTGGAAAAAAGGAAGGACAGCGGTTAGAATATAGGAGATTGCAGTTCAAAGGGATTAAGGATCTTAACGCCGCCGTCAAGTCCTATGGTCCTAACGCCCCGTTCACCCTCTCAGCTCTTGAATCTATGTCCCGCGGAGGATATCTCTTGCCGGCAGAATGGCTTCGTGTAGTACAGGCAGTCCTTTCAAGGGGGCAGTTCTTGACATGGAAAGCAGATTTCTTCGACCGCTGCCAATCCATGGCTACAGCCAACCAAAAATCCCCTGGCTCCCCCGCTTTAAAGTGGACTTATGAGAAGTTGAGTGGTCAAGGGAAATACGCAGAGGAGGCCAAACAACGCTGCCTCCCAATAGGCCTCTTGGCGCAAACCGCCAATGCTGCATTCGCGGCTTGGCGTGCCTTGCCCACTTCTGGATCCCCCCTTGCTCCGCTTAATAAGATCGTACAAGGAACTCAGGAAGATTTCTCTGAGTATGTTAGTAGGCTCTTGGAAGCAACTGAACGAACCTTAGGGCAAGAAGCGTCTAATGATCAGCTTGTGAGACGCTTAGCATATGAAAATGCTAACAATGCCTGTCGGTCTGCCTTACGCGGGAAGTGGAGAGATAAAACATTAGAGGAAATGATACGTATGTGCAGAGATGTAGATCCCTTCACTACCAAAATGTCCCAGGCCGTACATCTGGCCATAGGGGCAGCTCTCCAAACCGGGGACTCCCAAAAGGCATGCTTCCGGTGTGGTCAACCTGGCCATTTTGCCCGACAGTGCCCTAGTGCCCCTGACACTCCCTCCGCTCCAATCAGCAATAAGGCTTCCCAACCCTCCACCCTCTGCCCTCGGTGTAGGAAAGGGAAACACTGGGCAAATACCTGCCGCTCAACTACAGACGTTCATGGCCACCCTTTACAGGGAAACGGTCGGAGGGGCCAGCCCCGGCCCCCCAGTCGACCCCTTTGTTCGGGCCTCGGGGATCAGCCAGTCCACACTCCACATCCCACTCTTCAGAGCCACTGCAGGAAGCGCAGGGGTGGACTTGTGTGCCGCCTCCACCTCAGTATTGACCCCGAGGGTGGCGTCCATATTATTCCTACAGGCATCTTTGGCCCCCGCCCCCTGACTTCTATTTTTTCATCCTTGGTCGCGCCTCCGCTACTATTAATGGCCTCATGATTCACCCCTCCATTGTGGATAGTGATTACACGGGGGAAATTCAGATACTTGCCTCAACCCTGAAAGGGCCCCTCACTGTCCGTCAGGGACAACGCCTTGCGCAGGCTCTCCCGCTCCCCCTACAGACTCCATACCCTGCTCTCGCCACTGTTAGAGGCCACTCCAAGCCTGGTTCCTCAGACATCTATTGGGTCCAGGCCATTTCCCAAGACCGCCCCATGCTTACGCTTTTTATTCAAGGCAGGCTTTTTGAAGGAATATTAGATTCAGGAGCTGACTCGACTGTTATCTCAAAAGACAGTTGGCCATCTTCGTGGCCCCTTCAACCATCCATGACACACTTGCAGGGCATAGGTCAATCCCACAATACCCTACAGAGCTCTCAATGGCTGCCTTGGCAAGACAAAGAAGGAAATAAAGGGACTGTTCGGCCTTTTGTGATCCCCGGCTTACCTGTCAACTTATGGGGAAGGGACATTCTTTCACAGATGGGGGTAATTATGTGCAGCCCAAATACCGTTGTGACCCGTCAAATGCTCTCCCAGGGATTTCTCCCAGGGCAAGGATTAGGCAAGAAAGGTCAAGGGCAACTGTCCCCATTGTTGCTGAAGGGAGAAAAGGACGAGCAGGCCTTGGTTGTGAGAGCCCAGATAATCAGAACCATTTTTCGTGAGGGCCACGGGTCCTCCTGCACTCCAGGCAGATAGGATCTCGTGGAGAAATGACCTACCCGTCTGGGTAGACCAGTGGCCCTTACCCAAGAAAAAACTGGAGGCAGCGCTTGCTTTAGTGCAGGAGCAACTAGCTGCAGGTCACATAGAACCATCTACATCCCCGTGGAACACGCCCATTTTTGTTATCCAAAAAAGATCAGGTAAATGGCGACTCTTACATGATTTACGGGCCGTCAATAAAACTATGATTCCTATGGGGGCCCTTCAACCTGGGCTCCCCTCCCCTGTAGCCATACCGCAAGATTTTTCTAAGATTACAATTGATCTTAAGGATTGCTTCTTTTCCATTCCCCTCCACCCTTCCGATTGTCAGCGCTTCGCTTTTAGTGTTCCTATTACCAATTGTGTGGGCCCTTCTCCGCGCTTTCAGTGGAAAGTTTTGCCACAAGGCATGGCTAATAGCCCTACGCTGTGCCAAAAATATGTTGCCCAAACAATTGATCCTTTCCGCTTGCAGTATCCCAAGCTTTATATTATCCATTATATGGACGATATCCTCCTTGCAGGACCAAATAATGAGGAATTGACTCAGGTATCACAGGAGCTCATTAAGGCGTTGGAATATCGGGGCCTTAATATTTCCCCTGATAAAGTGCAAACCTGCCCCCCCCAGCTGTTCTTGGGATTTGAACTCTTGACGAATCGCATTCTCTCCCAGAAGGTTCGCCTACGAGTGAGTCACCTTTGCTCCCTTAATGATTTCCAAAAATTACTGGGAGAATTGAATTGGCTTCGGCCATATCTTAAGATCACTACAGGGGAACTGCGACCCTTGTTTGATATTCTTAAAGGAGACTCCGATCCAAATTCACCCCGCTCTCTCACGCCGGAGGCCCGTAAGGCCCTTGCCTTAATTGAGCAAGCCATTCATGAACAACATATTGGCTATTACGCTCCTCAAAAACCTCTTTGGTTCTTAATTTTTTCCACCACTTTTTCTCCCACTGGATTGTTATGGCAGGGACATCCGTTATTCTGGATTCATATGCCAGCCACACCTACAAAGATCCTTTCTTCCTACCCGCATTTAACGGCAGGGCTCCTGCGCCTCGGCCGAGAGGCAGCCCTTCGACTTTTTGGTCGAGAACCAGATCATATTGTTTGCCCCTACACTGCTTCGCAGATTCAATGGCTGCTTCAGAATGATGATGATTGGGCAGTTAATTGCATTTCCTATATGGGAGCTATAGACAATCATTATCCCTCAGATAAGCTCATTCAGTTCTTTCAGAAAACACCCGTGGTCTTCCCAAGGATCACCAAAGCGGAGCCCATAGAGAGCGCCCATTTGGCGTTCACTGATGGCTCCGCCACAGGGAAGGCAGCCTTTAGTGTTGATGGACAGGTCACCTCTTTTGACACCCCTTTCACCTCCGCGCAGCTGGTAGAGCTCGCAGCGGTCATTAAGGTTTTTGAATCTGTCTCGGGCCCCCTCAATGTTTATACTGATAGTTCCTATATTGCACAGTCAGTCCCTCTATTGGAAACCGTCCCGTATATCCGTCCCTCCACTAATGCGTCTCCTCTTTTTGCCACTCTTCAGCTTCTAATTCTCTCCCGCGATCACCCCTTTTTCATTGGTCATATTCGTGCCCATTCCGACCTCCCCGGTCCTCTTTCTGAAGGGAATGATCAGGTTGATCAAGTAACTCGTCGCATTCTGCTTGCTCTGTCTGCCTCCCCTGTTGAGGCTGCCACACAAGCCCACAAGCTGCATCACCTGAATGCCCATACGCTTCGTCTCAAGTTCCCTATAACCCGGGAACAAGCCAGACAGATTGTGAAACAGTGCCCTGGTTGCCTGACCCTCCTTCCTGAACCTCATAATGGCATCAATCCCCGAGGTCTTATCCCCGGGGAACTTTGGCAAATGGATGTCACTCACTATCCCCCTTTTGGTCGGCTTAAATATGTTCATGTGTCCATTGATACCTTCAGTGGCTTCATTTTTGCCACCCTGCAACCTGGAGAGGCCACCAAACATGTCATTAATCACCTCCTTAGTGCCTTGGCGGTCCTCCCGCAGCCCAAAATTCTTAAGACAGATAATGGCCCTGGTTATACCAGTTCTTCTTTCAGATCTTTTTGTACACAGTTGCATATTAAGCATGTTACTGGTATACCCTATAATCCTCAAGGGCAAGGAATTGTGGAAAGGGCCCATCAGACACTGAAAAACATGATCCTGAAATTACAATCAGGGAGGGAAGTTCTTTATCCCAGAGCTGGCAATGCCAAAACATTGCTCAATCACGCTCTTTTTGTTTTAAATTTTCTCACTCTGGACACTGCGGCAAAGAGTGCCGCAGACCGCCTTTGGCATTCCACTACGGCCCAAACCTACGCTCAGGCAAAATGGAAAGATCCCCTGCTTGGCAAATGGCAGGGCCCTGATCCTGTGTTAATCTGGGGCAAAGGCCATGCTTGTATTTATGACTCAAAGTGCCAAAATGCTAGATGGTTGCCTGAAAGGCTGATTAGGTTGATGGACAAGCCAGAAACTCATAATGCCGTCCAGGGAACCACACCCCCCTGAGACACCTCTGTTTTCTTTCTCTGTTTTACAGAAAATGACGATCCTCGTAATTTTCCTCCTGTTCCGTGGGAGCCACGGTGGTTTTCAATCTCCTGACCCAGTAGCGCTCAGCCGTGCCCTCTTTGGAAGCCCTTGTGACTGGGCGGGGGCACGTTCACTGTCCGTCCCGCCACCTACACGCAAGAAGTGGACTGCGGGGAAAAGACAGCCTACCTCGCCTACCGTCATTCTATCACGGGCGTCTCCAAACCCAAGTGGGAATGCGTAAGGAAGCCCCGAGTTATCCCTCCGAATGGTGGCCAGCCCGGGCCTTGCCCCAGTGATTGCAACTACCTTGAGGCCTTGCACTCCACATGCTATAGTTCTACCCAGCAGTGCAGTGGCAGCTCAGGAACAGTCTATCTTACTACAATACAGGAAAGAGAATATGGTGGCACAGGAGGGGACTGGGCGCATATAACTAGCCAAGGCCTACGTGGAAGTACCAATAAGTATGCTCAGGCTTCCTGTCGTAAAGAAAATATTGGAAAAAATGTCTGTTGGCCCCTTCATGCACCTGTCCATATCTCTGATGGGGGTGGCCCTACAGACCAAATTAGGGAACATGAGGTTAGGGAACGAATAAATGAAATAATTAAGAGTATGTATCCCCCCATCCATTACCATCCACTTGCACTGCCCAAACCCCGGGGAACGGACCTAGATGTCCAAACTTCAGAAATCCTTGAAGCAACACTTAAGGCCCTTAATTACTCTAACCCTGATTTGGCTGCCGATTGCTGGCTGTGTATGGCCCTTGGCACACCTATGCCCATAGCTTTGATGTCCAAAAATGGCTCCACATCCACAAATTGCACACTTAGTCCACCTTTTAAGGTACAACCTGTTGGTCTCCGCCCCTCTCCTTGTATCCAAGCCCCATTTCAGAATTCCACTGCTGATATTGATGTTGGTTTTGCTACCTTTGCTAATTGCTCTGAAGTCAAAAACTATACCTCACAGGAACCTCTCTGTCCCCTGCCGGGACAACTTTTCGCCTGTGGGGGAAATATGGCCTACTCTGCCTCCCCCAGAATTGGACAGGACTCTGCACACAAATTTCAATCCTCCCTGATATCGACATCATTCCGGGAGATGAGCCTGTCCCACTGCCCAGTTTTGATTATATTACTGGAAGACCCAAGAGGGCTGTTGCATTTATCCCCCTCCTTGTTGGCCTTGGGATTACAGGGGCACTCGCTACCGGCTCTGCCGGCATAGGAGTTGCTGTTGATTCATATACAAAACTATCCCATCAATTTCTTAATGATGTGCAAACCCTCTCGGGGACGATAAATGACCTTCAAGACCAAATTGACTCCCTGGCGGGAGTCGTTCTTCAGAATAGGAGGGGCCTAGATTTACTCACGGCAGAACAAGGGGGAATTTGCTTAGCCCTACAAGAAAAATGTTGCTTCTATGCAAATAAATCTGGGATAGTGCGGGATAAAATCAAAAAACTGCAAGAGGATCTGATTGAAAGACGCAAAAACTTTTTGAAAATCCCCTCTGGAGTGGCTTGAATGGAGTCCTCCCATACCTCCTCCCTCTTCTTGGACCTTTAATTGGTCTCCTCCTACTTTTTCTTTTGGACCTTGGGCCTTTACCAGACTAACCTCTTTCATTAAGACGCAGATTGAGGCTTCTCTTAAAAACACCGTCAATATCCATTACCACCAACTTGCTTCGTCAGAAGATCCTACTGATACCATGGAAGAGGGTCTCCAGTTCTCGAAGCTCGTGCATCCGGAATCTCGCTGCTCGCGGTGGTGGAGAAATATTAAGGATAAAAAGTGATCTGGCAGCTGTGAGAGAGCCCATGACGGGAATATTGAGGTCCCATGTTTCAAAAAAAAGCGCGGCTGCAGTTGTTTCCCCATGACGGGAATAGAGTGAGGCCATGATGGGTTACGTCGTGGGGTCCCCTCGCTTAGCCTAAGACAGGGACCACTGCCACTAATGCGCTTTGAACATGGAGGCCGACTTCATAGCCTAAGACAGGCCTCTCACCTGCTATTTTAAATAAAAAAGGGGGACATGCTGGAGGCCAGCACCTGGTAGTGGGCCCCTAACCCCGTGAGATTACCACACCCCAAGCAGCTTGTTCCGGGACAAACCGTACCATAACGTGTTCCTGTCAGGGCTAACCGCAAGATTGCCACACCGCCCCTGGAAAGTCCCGGAGGCCCATTTTCCCCTTTTGCCCCTCCCCGCTTTTGCCCTATATAAGCTTGTAATGCTCAAAAATAAAATTAGACCTTGCCTACCATCCTTTTGGTCTCACTCCTCCTTTTCACCCATTCCCTTCAGCCAGGGTCCTCCTCGACCCCCCACGTATACTGGCCCTGCAGGTCGGGGCATTCCTGAGTTCAAATCCAGCCTCACATTTACTAGCTGGGTGACTCTGGGCAGGTCACTTCACCCTGCCTACCTCAGTTTCCTCATCTGTAAAATGAGCTGGAGGAGGAAGTGGCAAACCTCTCCAGCATCTCTGCTGAGCTGGGGCCAGGGAGGGTGGGACACGACTCAGCAGCAGCAGCGGGAATCCTTTCAGAAAATCCACACTGTTTTCCTTTGAGTCGTCAGCTGTGGTTGCTATGTATTTGTAACTGCTTCTTTCGGGGGCTGTCCAGGTACACAGTACTTCTTGATACCGGTCAGGGTACTTTGTGTTTATTCGTCTCTCCAGTTTTCGGCCTGAGCCAGGACCCAAGGCCCCCTGCAGCACTTCTGGGTGTTGCCGTTTTCCAGGGTCTCACTGAGGCCCTCCCAGATTCCTGCCGTGGCCTCCACTTCCTGGAATAGAGAGACACCCCCCACTCCTCACCCCTTCCTAAGATGGTGGCCAAACACTGAGCGTGGCTGAAAGAAAGGCGCGTCTACGTAACGAGGCTGGGGAGGGAGGCTGGCTGTTTGCGAGCTTTGGAAGGCCAGCATGGGGGAAGGGGTGGGATCTGGTCCCGTTGGCAGAACAGGGCCTGAGGCGGCAGAGGCGGGTTTAGTCGTGCTCTGGAGGCAGCTGGAGCGGGCTGCCAGAGCCGCCGGAGTCAGCTCCCTCTGGTTTCATGAAGGTCTTTGTCCTGCCAGGAAGAGAAGTACCCAGGGGACGTGGTGCATACCTTCACTTTGGCCCCACTGGCCCTCCTGCCCCTCCCTCTGTGACACTGTGACTGAATATTAGAATGCTGCGCTGTGGTCACGGACGACGCGGGTTGTCAGTGCAGCCGCTCTTCCTCTTGGCTGCCGTGCTTCTAAATCTAGTGCAGACTGAGGCACACAGTAGGCTCTCTCTGAATACCTGGCCTGGAAGACACTGAACCTCGTGAGCTGCGTCCCATCGTTCCTCTGATCTTCTTTCCTCCCAGGCCATGGGCCACATAGTTCTCAGATGGTACCTACAAGTGTATCTGCTGTTTCAGGCATCCGTGACGTTCAAGGACGTGGCTGTGGACTTCACCCTGGAGGAGTGGGGACGCCTGCACCCTGCCCAGAAGGCGCTGTACATACAGGGACGTGATGCTGGAGAACTACAGGAACCTGGTCTGGCTGGGTAAGGACGGCTCCCCAGGGATGCAGAAGCTGCCTTTTGGAGGGTTTCACTTCCTTTACTACGTGATGGGGTCCTTGTGACTGCTTTTGTTTTTGAGATTGGGTTTCTCTGTCTCGCCTGGGCTGGCAGGGCAGCTGCCTCTCACAGGCCCGATCCAAATCCTGCTCTGGCCCCTCCCTGGGCATCCCAGTGGCCCTCCCCCATCCTGGGTTCTCGCCACCTTGGTACCTAACTTTGTGCAGACACCCAGTCCCCTTTCGCCCAAAGTTGAGAATCCCCCAGCCTCAAACACGACCCCCTTCCCTAGAAGTAGGGACTGGAGCCATCAGCCGCCATGTCCCGCTTGCGAGTGCACCTGTAGAAGCTCCGTGGAGCCCAGGGAAAGGCTTGCTGCGGCAGCAGTGGGCGGTTGCATCGTCCCAGAGGCTGGACCTCCTCCGGTCTCTGTTTGCTCAGCTCACAGATTCTCCCCCAAAGTCCCAGGACAGCTGCCCGCAGACGTGAAACCTTGCCACCCCTTGGGTCTCGTGAATGACTTTTCTGTCTTGGCTCAGATGGACCCTTACTTCCTAGGGATGCAGGCTCATGTCCTTCATGGTCCATTGTCCTGCCCTCTGGGCTCTAGTGTATCCGTTTGTCCCCAAAGAGAGGAGGGATAGGGATTCTAGTGGGGTGTCTCTCTGAAGCCGGCACTTTCCCATTTCCATTGAGCAGGACTCACAGCCTCCAGACCAGGTGTGATTGACCAGCTGGAGCGAGTGGAAGTCCCTTGGGTGCCTGAGGGAGAGGCCCCCGAAGTCAGCTGCCCAGGTGAGTGAGGGAAAGCCAGGTAGGTTGGACCTTGCAGACAACATCCCAGCTGGTCATTCTGGGGGCGGTGCTTTTAAACCATTGGGCAGGGAGTTCTGCTGCAAGCTCCCCCAGACCCACAGAGCAGGGCTGAGGGCGGGGCTGGGCTAGAGCTTCACTACCCCTCAGCCACCCGTGGGCCGCCATCTCCACACGGAGGACCTCCGGGACAGGGCTGGCCACATTTCACTGCCTGCTCAAGAACTTTGTGTGGCTCTCTAGTGCTGGGCATCGGGAACCCTGCCCTGCAGGGCTCCAGGCTTCCTTTCCAGGCCAGTTACCATTATGCACCCTGTGTTTTAGACAGCCTGCCCTCTTTCCCTTCGCATGATATTCCATGGGCCACTCCAAGCCTTTTCATTAGCTGCCCCTCTTGCCTGGGATGCCCTTCGTCCTCACCTCTGCTCTGGCAAACCCGGGCTCCCTTCAAGGCTCAGCCCGAGGGTCACCTCCCCCAGGCAGCCTTCCCCGCTACACTTCCCCCGTCCCTTTTCTGCTGTGTTTGTTTTCTGGTTCCTTCCAGGGAGCCTGTTCTCTGTGCCCCTGTCGCCTGGGAGCTCCCAGGGCAGCAATGTCTCCTTCTCTGTGTGTGCATCCTAGCGCTTAGCACGGTTCCTGGCACAAGGTAAGCGCTTAAGAAATGCCTGTGATTTGATTGAATTCACCATCCCTCCAGTCTCACAGGGAGTAGGGATTGCTTTGGACCTCTTTGGAGGTCACCTTATCCTCTGTGGCCGTCAGCCTTCTTTACCTCCCTTGGCCGTTCCTTCATTATCTCATTTTTAAAATGACTTTGTTAGTGATCAGATGATCTCTGAGCCCTTATTAAGCATCTGTTCTGTGCCAGGCCCTGCCACAAGCATGGGGATGCAGATACAAAACAGACTCTAGTTCCTGCCCTCGGGAAAGGTACAGTCCATTGGGAGACAGAGCTACACAGATAGCCGTGATGAACACAGGGCACGGAGGGGAGCAGGGAGGACTTAGTGTGGGCGCTACAGGAGCTGACCCTTGGAGGGAGAGAGCGTGCCAGACATGGGATCCCGGGATGTCCTGGGGGGCGCGGTGAAGGGAGAGCCCGAGGGGTCCCAGGGTCCTTCTCGATATGACGTGATGTGCGTGCATGCGTGGAGGGGCAGGGGCCATGCTGGAAGGGCTGTCTGTGGCTGGGGTTTGTTTGGATGCGAGCTGACGGTGACTGACCAAGAGCTAAAGCGCTAAACCTTGGCCCTGCTTCTGAAGCTTGCCGCTAGCTTATTTATGTTTGTGCATTAACTTCAGTGCTGGAGTCCACCAGGATTCTTTCTTTGTCCGTTCCTGCCCGGCCCCTTTCTGCTTTATGGTCAGTCCGGGTGTGTTCTGTTCATCTGGTTCTGCCGCTTTTGCTCTGCATGATTCTTTAAAGGTCTTTGCAGATACCTTTATTCCCTGTGCCTTAATGGCACTGTGGCATTCCATTTCACTTTTCTCATATACTCCAGACTTGTCTTGTCATCTATATAGGGAACTCACTTCATGGGAACTCACTCCACTGGTGCAGATTGGCCACTTTTTCTGACTTGTCGATGGCCACGCCCCTACCAGGTGTCAGAGGCCAAATTTGAATCCAGCTCTTCCCTACTCGAAGGCTTACCCTCTATGTCTGATGCGGTACCCTGGCGCTCCTTCCTGCGGCCTGAATGCACTGCAAAGCGAATGCATTATATTTAGTCACCATTTCCTTATTCTTTTTATTTTTTAATTTAATTTTTTTATTTTTTAGGCAATTGGAGTTAAGTGACTTGCCCAGGGTCACACAGCTAGTAAGTATCAAATGTTTGGTCTGAGGCCAGATTTGAACTCAGGTCCTCCTGGCTTTAGGACTGGTGCTCTATCCACTGCACCACCTCGCTGCCCCTACCATTTCCTTATTCTTAGACGGTGATGTTGGGGTACAGTTTTTGCAGCTTTGCGGTCACAGTTTTTGCTAACACTTTCAAACAAGGTTAGTGGTTCCGAGCATGTGATTATGTTTGTGATGTTCTGCGTACGTGAGGCGGGGCTACCCAGAAGCCTGGCTGTGTACGATCGCGCTGCCTGTCCCCCATCACCCCGGCAGTCGAGCTGCGGTCCTTTTCATCTTTTTGGGGACAGGGGTGCAGTCGGAATGATTTGAGATGGTGCCCTAGCATTGTTTGATTTTGCACCTCCTTGAGTAATAGTGAGGCAGAATATTTTTGTAAAGAGACCCTTAAAATTTGTGTTTCTTCTTTGGACAATTGCTCTTCTTCTTTCATCATTTGTCCTCTGTGGCTGGGGAGCTACCTTTGTACATTTTTAGTGATTCCTCCTAGCCTGTCTCAGCCTGATATCCTGCTAGCTGGGGGGAGCACGGGCATGCGCCTTAGCCCCGGTGCTCCTCAGGCAGCTCTCTAACACAGAATTGTAGACAGGTTGTAATCTGCATGGGTTCTTCCCCTGGGGTCACGGAACTTGTGCTTTTAATAATTTGATAACTGTAGTTTATTTCCTTGCAGTTGGTTTGCTTTGTAATCCTCTGCGTTTTACTTTATGCATTCAAAACCGTTATCATCCTGAGGAGGAGTCTGGGTCTATAGGCTTCTTCAGACTGCCATAGGGGTTCCTGACCCAAAAAAGATTCAAAACCTCTGGCATTAGGGGCAGCTAGGTGGTGCGGCAGATAGATCTCTGGCCTTGGAGTCGAGAGGACCTGAGTTCAAATGTGGCCTCAGACACGTGACACTTACTAGCTGTGTGACCCTGGGCAAGTCACTTAACTTCGATTGCCTCACCAAAAAACAAAACAAAACCAAACCCTGACATAGAGTGAAATCCCGCACTGAAAAAATCACATGCCCACTTCATAGATTTCAGGTGTGAGGTTGGCATGTGCATACATACATGCTATCAGCATTTACTTTTAATTATGTTGGAGTGTTCTGTTTTGCCGAAATGTTTCATTTTAATGTAATAAATTGCCTGTCTTGTCTCCAGTGTATAGAAGTCGTCTCCTTTCCACAGCTTACCATCCCCTTTCTTTTTAATATGCACACTAACAAAACAAAAACTTAAGTTGTCTTTTTTCTTCCACATTCTCAGGTGAGCTCTTTCTTCCGTGTATTTCTTAGGATCATCCTGGGGGAAGCAGGTTTTTATCTAGTTATAGACAGGGTACACCTTCGGAGTCTGCTTTCTTCCTGTTACAACAGGTCTTCCTTATTTCATTTTGTTCTTAAATGACAGAAGTGACCAATAAATCTTGCATGTGCTGTTTGTTATATGTTCAACCGTAATCAAACCCCAGGATGCGTGGGTTGTTTTCAGCCTTTTCCTATTTCAATTAAAGCTGCTATGAATATTTTTGTAGTAAAAGTTGTTTTCTTTCTGTAATATCCTTTTGACATAATCTTGTTAGAAGGATCACTGCATGAAAGGGTCTGGTTATGCACATTTCTGTAGTGCTGCCTGAATGTTGCTATGATACTTTGCAAAAAGGTGGCACTCATTCATTCAATCAATCAGTAAACATTTATTAAGTGCCTACCCCACCTTAAGTGCTGGGGATACAAAAAGAAGCATTAGGCAGTCCCTGCCCTCAAGTAGCTTACAGTCTAATGGAGGGGAGCCACAACATGCAAACAAATGTACGTAAAGCAAGCTGTGTACCGGATAAATAGGATATTGTTGAGAGAGGGAAAGCACTGGAATTAAGAGGAGTGGGAAAGGCTTCCGGTAGAAAGCGAGGTTTTAGTTGGGACTTAAAGGAAGCCGGGGAGAGCAGTGCTCAGAGCAGGGGAGAGAGAGCGTCCAGGCAAGAGGGATGGCCAGAGAGTGCCCAGAGCTGAGAGATGGAGGGTCTTGTTTGTGGGACAGCCAGGAGGCCGGGGGCACTGGATTGAAGAGGATGTGTTGGGGAGTGAAGTGTAACAAGACCAGAAGTTGGGAAGAGGCCGGGTTATGAAGGACTTTGATGCCAAACAGATTTTGTATTTGCTCCTGGAGGCAAGAGGGAGTCCCTGGAGTTTACTGAGTAGTGGGAGTGATGTGATCAGACTTGTGCTTTAGGAAAATCTCTGGTAGTTGATTGGGTGGTGGACTAAAGTGGGGAGAGACTGGAGGTAGAGGCAGGCAGGCACCCCCGGTGGAGATTGTAATTGTCTAAGAGTGAGGTCTTTAAAGGCTGTGCCAGGGTGGGGGCAGTGTCAGAGAGGAGACGTCTTACTGGGGAGATGGTGCAAAGGTGGAATCTACAAAAGGCATTGCCAAGGTGAAATTGCAGGCTTTGGCAACAGCTTGGTGCAGGATGAGAGATGGGGAGGAGTGCAGGATGACTCCTAGATTGTGAGCCTGAGGGACTGGGAAGAGGGCATCATCCTCTACAGAACAGGGAGGGCAGGAGGGAGGAGGGCTTAGCACACCTGTTTCTCCAAATTTCCACCAAGAGTCAGTTTTACCCCTTTAAAAAAAAGTAAAACTCCCTTTGCCAAATAAGTGGATAGGAAGTAGTGTCTCAGTTAACTGAAAATATGTTTCTTTGATTATTAAAGAATTTAGACAGGTTTTAAGGTGCTACTAGTTGGCTTTTTTGACCATTCAACTTTTTTGCAGGTGGAATTTAAAACTGTCAGTTTCTTGTAGGTTTTGAATGCCAGATTTTTAGCAGAAATAATTATTATGATTTTTTCTTTCCCTGAATATGTCCCTTTTCTTCTGGGGGGTTCTTGGTTTTTTTTTCCTAATGGGGAAAAAAACACCTTTAATTCTATAAAGATCAATAACTGTATAAGAATTCCCTTCTTACTAGTTACACTACATGTATAATTTTTGTTTTAAAATTTTACCATGTACCTTCTATTCTCTTATAATTTGTGTAATGACCCTTTGACAACTTCCTGTAACATACAATGTGAGATGTGGATATATCTAATTGATTATAATATGACTATATAATTTTATAACAAATCTTATTGACTAATAATTTTCTTGCCCATTTTGGCATGGTCTTGGATTTGTCTAACCCTATATCCTATATTCTCATTCAGATTATGTTTTCTGTTGATTGATATCTTTTCTTAGCTCTTAGCAAATACCAGATAATTCTGGTAAAATTTGCTTTGTAGGTTATTTGATTTATAGACATCTAAGTCCTTTTCCTCATTTCCCATCTGCCTGCTTCCCCTTAATGTTCTTGACCATTTGTTCTTCCTCATGTTTTTAGTATTTCTATTAAGAAACTTTCTGTCATGTCACTTTTGTTAAGAAACTTTGATTTGGTTGGTGATATCTGATGTCTAAAAGTGGATTCTGCAGTGGTTCTGTCTTCCTCAACTGGCTTGAGAGACTTTATCCAGACCTGGATTAACTAGATCTAAGGCCTTCACCTGACTTCTGAGCCTAGTAACCATAGCAGAAAGGAAAGGAAGGTTGGGGGGAGTGTTCTTTCATCAGGTGATGGAGTCCTGTCATAGGTGCTCAGTCTTCATAGTACTAGGATTGCTGGAAATTAGCTCTGCCCCCTTTTCCTTAGCCCTCCCTTTAACAGCAGATTCCATAAACTTTGTAGGAAACAGTCAAGCTCCTGGCTTATAGAATGCAGATTTCTTCCTTTCTTCCTTTCTTCTTTTTTTCTTCCTTCCTTCCTTCCTTCTTTCCTTCCTTCCTTCCTTCCTTCCTTCCTTCCTTCCTTCCTTCCTTCCTTCCTTCCTTCCTTCCTTCCTTCCTTCCTTCCTTCCTTTCTTCCTTTTCTTCCTTTCTTCTTTTCTTCCTTTCCTTTTTGGTAAAAAATGAACACATTTGTCCTTGTCCAGGCCTGTGCTACTCTGTTCTCCGTAATCTTTCAGAAATTACTGCCTGGGCTCTGCAATCTGTCTCATCAGCCAGATGTTAACCAGAATGGTTAAGTAACTTGCCCAGGGTCACACAATAACAAATAGCAGGGCCAGGATTCCTCCAGCACCCAGTCCTAGAAGTCACAGAACCTCTTTGGGGCTGTTTCCTCACCTACAGCATGAGAAGGTTGGACTAGATAATTGCTGTTCTCTTTGCCATTATGTGGCTCCTTATCTGATTCAAGACAGCCCTAGGGGTTCAGATATTTGTGCTTTGTGTTGAGCTGATGGTGGACTTCCTGTAGATTTCTCTATCTGGTCCCAGGACTGTTCTTGACAGTGAAACAGCATGATACAAGTTTACTTGTATCTTGGGCACCATCATGGAGAAGTGGAAAGCTGGACTTGGAATCCAAAGGTCTTGGTTCAGGTCCTGGCTTTGACACCTGGACACCTATCCAAATGTGTACTTAAGGGAAACATTAAATTACTCTAAGCCTCAGTTTTCTCATTTGGAAAACTGAATGACTGACCTGTCTACTGTCACCAGGTTGTTTTGAGGAGCAAGGTGAAAACTGCAGTATCATCTGTTCCACGTTTTAAAGTTTGACAGTGGTTTTTCTGGATGGAGAAAAGAGAAGATAAGGTGAATTATGTGGGAATCAGGGAATATTTATATTTTTAATTTCTTTCAGATTTTGAAACTAGGCCTGAAACCACACAGTTGTTTCCAGAATTGGGCCTTTCTATGGAAGTATCATCCCATGAGAAATTTCTCACAGGTGATCCTTATGTCTCCCCATTGGGAGAAGACTTGCAATGTGGTGCCTGGCTAGAAAGGAAGTGGAGCAGTGAAGGAAAGGAACCTTGTGAATATAATGACTATGGAAAGGTCTTCTATGGACATATAAGACTTAGTGAACATCAGAAGATTCCTTCCAGAGAGGCTTATGAATGTAAGCAGTGTGGGAAAGCCTTTCATCGGAGATCAGGACTCAGGGACCATCAGAGAATTCATACTGGAGAAAAGCCTTATGTGTGTACTCAATGTGGGAAATCCTTCAGCTGCAAGTCCACCCTGACTTCCCATTACCGACTTCATATTGGTGACAGACCTTATGAATGTAGTATTTGTGGGAAGGCCTTCCATCAAAGGTCAGGACTTATTGAACATCAGAGAATCCATACAGGAGAAAAGCCTTATGAGTGTAAGGAATGTGGAAAGGCCTTTCATCAGAGGTCAGGGCTTGCTGAACATCTGAAAATTCACCCTCGAGAGAAGCCTTATGCCTGTACTAAATGTGGGAGAAATCCTTCAGCAGCAAGTCCACCCTGACTTCCCATTATAAACTTCATATTGGTAACAGACCTTATGAATGTAAGGAATGTGGAAAGGCCTTTCATCAGAGGTCAGGGCTTGCTGAACATCTGAAAATTCACCCTCGAGAGAAGCCTTATGAATGTAAAAACTGTGGGAAGGCCTTCCGACAGCATGCACACCTAACTTCCCATCAGAAAATTCACATTAGGGAGAATGCTTTTCTATGTCCTATATGTGGAAAGTCCTTCACCTGCAAGTCAACCCTGACTTCCCATTACAAAATTCACTCTGGTGACAGACCTTATCAATGTAATGAATGTGAGAAGGCTTTCCACCACAGAGCAGACCTTATTAGACATCAGAGAATTCATACTGGAGAGAAGCCTTATGAATGTAAGGAATGCAGGAAAGCCTTCCATCAGATTACACAACTTACCCGACATGAAAGGATTCATACTGGAGAAAAACCTTTTGGGTGTACTAAATGCGGCAAATTTTTCAACTGCAACTCATACCTCCTTTCCCATTATAGAATTCATATTGATGACCGACCTTATGAATGCAAAGAATGTGGAAAGGCCTTTCGCCGGAGCACACAACTTAGTCAACATCAGAGAATTCATACTGGAGAGAAGCCCTTTGAATGTAATGCACGTGGGAAGGCCTTCTATTGGAGGTCAGGACTTACTGGACATCAGAAAATTCACACGAGGGAAACTTTATGGAATGTAAACAATGTGTTAATGCCTTCTGCCAGAAGGTAGGACTTACTTGGCTTCTAAGAAGTCATACTAGACATTATGGACACACCTTGCACGTGTAAAGTTGGTGGAAGGCCTTTCTCAAGAGCAAATAGTTTGCCCAGCAACGAAGGATTCACACTGGAAAGAAGCCTTCTGAATGCAGAGTCTTAGGATGTAGTATATAGCAGGAGTACTCTTCACTGAAAAAAAATTTGAATTCAAACTAAAAGGGAACTCAGAAGAGAAAGAAAACTCCCAAATATAAAATTATAGACCTCTGTTCCCCAGTGTTTGTGACAAAGTAAACAATACATTGTTGTATTGCAGACATTCTGAAAGCCACAAAGTTACTGTTTTCGCCTGACTCCTGTGAAGCCGAGTCACCCAAAAGCTTTCTCTTTGAAAGTCAGGGCCAAAGTGTACTTTTAAGCTTTAGGTGGACATTAAAACACATTTTCAAACAAGTTCTGGTGGCATTTACCCATATTTCTGACAGCATTGAAAATTTTCAAAGGATAACATCCACAAGAGATCTTGGACTCTTAGGGATTTTGCAAACAAGTACAGTTAGTCAGCAGCTAGGAAACTTGTTTGTAGCAAGTTTCTCTGGTAAAGGTCTGTTATCCAAGCTATATGAAGGATTGATACAAATTTTTAAGTATAAGGAGCTATTCTCCAATAGATAAATAGTCAAAGGATATGAGTAGACAGTTCTCAAATGAAGAAAGGCAAGCTATCTATAACAAAATGAAAAAATTCTCTGAAATCTGAATAAGAACAACTCTGAGGCGCAACTTTATCCCCACCAGATTGCAGAGATGACCCAGAAAAAGGAAAGCAGTGTTCGTTGATAGAGTTTTCAGAGGACAGACCCATTAATGACTGTTGGTGGTGCTGTTAATTGGTCCAACTATTCTGGAAGGCATTTCAGTCACCCAAGTCAGTAAACTTGCATACCCTTTGACCTAGCAAGAAATGGCATATAAATCCCCAAAGAGTGAGTCAGTAAACATTAAGCACTGTGCTAAGCACTAAGAAATCAAAGAAAGGGCGAATGGACACATATATATGCAAAAATAAATGTAGCAGCTTTTTTGGTTTTGTTTGTGTAGCGAAAGAACTGGAAACAAGGGGAATGCTCATTATTTGTGGAGTAGCTGAACAAATGTTGGTGTATGAGTGTAATGGAACATTACTGCATTGTAAGGAATGACAAGAGGGATGGGGTCAGAGAAAGCTAGGAAGATTTGTACGAACTGCTGTAGTGGAGTGAGCAGAATCAGGAGAACAATTTATACAATCACTACAACATTGTAGGGGGAAAGAACTATGATTAACGTAATAACCAGTTATGACTCTAGAAGACTGATAATAAGTCATGGTTCCCATCTCTTGGCAGAGAGATAGTGCTCTAGATGTGCAGACTGAAATGTATGTTTTCAAGTAGCCAACATATGGATCCGTTTTTCTTACAATGTTTATTTATTAAAGGGGAGGACTTATATTGGAGGGGAATAGGAGGGCAGGAAAGTGATGCCAGAAAACAAGGAAGTCAAGATCACAAATGAAGCCTTAAGAATGCACTAAAAATAGAAGGAAATACAGAGGAGGGCACAGAAAAGCCAGGAAGTGTTGTGACTGCCTTGTTTTTATCATGCATTTTAAAAAAGTAATCTATGTGTAATAGAGATTTATGGCAGCGTACATAATCCTCTTTTTCTGTTCTTTGTATAAGGAAATATTCATCTTAGTTTAACGTTTGTCAAGTTTGTAATAATAAAAAAAAATCAGAAACAAACCCCACCAAGGATACACTGTCATGGCCGCAAGCAAAAGGGAGCTGCTTTTCACCCTTCTTTCCCCCAAATCTGTCTTCCTGGATTGTAATTGGTGCAGCTTTGGGGAAAGCTCCTGGGGTGGGAGTTGGTCTCTTTTGGAGAAATTTTTAACGTTTCACATCGCAAGTCATTTTGAGGCCACCTTTTGGGTTCACAGGGAAGGTGCTCATCACCATCTTAATGGAGCCAAGATAGATTTTGAAAATCTGTGCATTTGTTGCTACCATTACTCCAGTAGGGTTTCAACATGCCTAAAAATTAATTTGTTCCCCCAAAAGCAGTTAGTCTGCTAGCTTTAGGACTGAGGGTTTTCTGAGGCTTAGGAGAACTGAATAATAATAGGAAGCAGATTCCTGGGGGAATCTCTAGATGGGTTTACATTTGGTTCAAGGGAGTTTTTGTTGTTGTTTCAAGTGAGTATCAGAACTTCACATAGACACAAAATTCAGGTAACTGTAAGACACGTGAATTAAACATGTTAGGATTTAAAATAATGGAAGGAAACAAGCCCTTCTTAAGCACCTCACTATGCAAAGTGCTTTCCAAGTACTTCATCTTCACAGCAACCGTGGAAGGCAGGCGATAGTATTATTCCCATTTTATGCTTAAAGAAACTGAGGCAGACAGGTTAAGTGACTTGTCCAGGGTTGCACAGCTAGCAAGTGTCCGAAGCTGGATTTGGCCTTCAGGCCCAGTGCTGTTATCTGTTGCATCACCTAGTTGCCCCTATGATTTGGAAAGCATTAATCAGTATTTACAGAAGCCTATCTCTGATATAGAAATTAATAATTCCACAGGAACAGACGCTTTCTTCTATGACAAATGAAGTAAGTGCAGAGAGATTATATTTGCTTGTTCAGAGTAAACACCAGGGCTCTGAATGCAAAAGAAGTTAAACCCAGTGCCTGGCACATAAATGCTTAATAAATATTTATTGGCTACTTTAAAAATCTCTCAAACTCAGAATATAGATGGTTTTTCATACCTACTCAGAGAATGAAGTCAAGTCAGATCTTATTATGTATGTGTATAAATAGACATACACACACACACACACACACACACACACACACACACAGTTGTTTAGTCATTTACTTGTATTTGACTTCGTGACCCTATCTATGGACCATCCATGGGGTTTTCTTGGGAAAGATACTGGCGTCATTTGCTATTTCCTTCTCCACTGGGTTGAGGTAAACAGAGGTTAAGCCCAGGGTCACACAGCTAGTGTGTCTGAGGCCAGATTTGAGCTCAGGCCTTCCTGACTCCAGGCCCAGCACCACCTAGCTGCCTGTTCATGGGCAGGCTGAGCCAATATAGTAAAAAATAGCAATACTGCCTAAACTAATTTACTTCTTACAGTGGTAGACCAATATCTACCAGGGTTTGCCTCTCTCATGTAACATGTAATAGGTTAGATTTTCCTTGAAAAGTCACAAAGCCAATACTAGACTGGCCTGAGGGCGGGATAAGGCTCAAGTTGTGTCTTCCTTGATGTAGCTTCCTAGAGGCCTTTGACTATAGCTTCCTGGTCACTTAGAGGTGTAAAAAATCCAACCCACAGGGGTTGATGCCCTTCAGGTTTGGTGGATGCCCAAAGAACACAGGAGTCATCACATCTTGCCCTGCTGACCAAAGGACTTTCCATATGGTGACAAGGGGAACAGGGTCTACCCATACTATAGGCTCCTGTATATCCTTGATATCTTAAAGCTAAGTAAACCTCCTTTTATTAAGTATTCAGTGGCCTATGACTGTCTCATTTTTGTTCTACCATGAACTTGAACTAACAGAATGCAAGCATGAGACCTACTTCTAACTATTGAAAGATTACATTATACAACTAGAAAAAAATAATTCATCTGGAGGAACAAGAGATAGAGAGAATGAAAAAATGGGAAGAAGGCCTAGCAGTACCAGATTTCAGACTGTACTATGAAGTAGTAATCATCAAAACTGTTTGTTTGGTACTGGTTAAAAAATAGAAAGGTCAATGAGTAGAGCAGATTAGATATATGACATATCAAAGGTGATGTAGTATCCTAGTGTTTGACAAATCCAAAGATCCCAGCTACTGGGGTAAGGACTCACTGTTCAACAAGAATTGCTGGGAAAACTGGACAATAATCTGGCAGGAATTAGGGTTAGGATAGCACTTCACACCATATGCCAAGATAAATTCCAAGTGGATTCATGGCCTAGATATAAAAAATCAGATCATAAAAGCAAATTAGAGGAATAAGGAAAAAATTATCTTTCAGATCTAATTTGCTTTTTGTGGTCTGACTTGGAAGTCCTCCATTTCATTAAATATCCATTTCTCCCCTGTAGGATTATATTCTGTTTTGTTGGGTAGGAGGTTTTTTGGTCATAATGCTATCATCTTTGCCTTCTGCAATATCATATTCCAAGCCTCCATTTCTTTATAATGTTGGCTGCTAAATCTTATGTGATATTGACTGTGACTTGGCCCCAAAGCCATTAACAGTAGATGAGACAATTCTGAATCATGAGGGGAAATTTCCATTGCCCAGAAAAACCTGGGGCCTGTGGTTCTGTGGCATCACATTCCTTTACACATCCTTTTGACCTGGTTCCAGGTAGACTCTTTCCAGGTGACTTCCACAGTTACATCCTGGAATGTCACAGATAGCTGAAATACCAAGCACATTCTTACTCATCCAGAGATCTGCCAGTGTGACTGAGTAAGAGCACCTGGGGTTATGTATCCAATACTTTTCCTGAGGATTATTGAATTTGATGTGAACCTGCATCTCCCAATCCAGGTCTCCTGTACTGATGCTGCATCAGCATCTGTTTGAATTCAGTATGTTGACAGTTCACCTAGCTTTACTAGGCTAGAAACTCTGGCACTATTAAATCTTTGCATCACCAGCATCTAACCCAGTGCCCTACACATAATAAAATGCTTCCTGAATTTAAGCTTACTTCCGTGTTTCCCAGGGGTGAGGCATAATCCATGAGGGAATCAGGCACTGCAATTCAGGTTTAGAAAACCTGATGAAGCTGATGAAGCACCTACAAAGGGAAGGCAATGTTGGAGGTCGAGGACTCAAAGATTCCAAAAGGAATACAGTCCCTTCCCTCAAGGAGCTTAAATTCACAAACTCTGAAGCTCCCAAATCATCCAGTTGACACACCTCTGAAGAATGGATAACACATCATCTCTCACACTGAGAATTAACCTCTTTGTGACATTTGTTCTTTATTACATTAATCAACAAGCATTTATTAAGCTACTACCCTTTTCTCAGACCTTGTGCTTGGCACCAGGGGTACAAACAAAAATGAAGTGGTCCCTGCTCTCATGTAACATATTCTGTTGGAGCCAATATATATATTAAACACTTAGCTGTGTGCCAAGCGCTGTGCTAGGAGCCCAAGGGTACAAAGAATTAGCAAAAATAGTCCCTGGCCTCAAGGAGCTTCCATTCTAATGGAGGAGAGAGGGAGCATGATTATAAATGGGTATGTAATAGATACCTGTGGAGTAGATGGAATGTAGCCTTGGAAGGGAAGGGGTCAATAAGTAAAGAGTAATTTTTGAGTAGAAGGCTCTATAGATGGGGTGAATTGGAAAGGGCTCCTATAGAAGGTGAAACTTTAGCCAAACTATGAACAGAACAAAGAAGGAGAGATGAGGAGGCAGGGATAGCCGAAGGGTACTTTTATCAAATAGATGGATTATCTTGCAATCTCACCATTATGAAATGTTATGCTAATGAAAATGGGTATCCTCCTGCCCTTCCACATCTTCCTTTACCCAAATAATACATCTTTTCCCCACCAATTCTAAGAACTCAAGCAGCATTTCTGTATCACTGTTTTCCCAGTCCCATATACACCCACCCACCTTATCCCCCCAAAAAAGCAAGACAGTCTATAACATCGGGTGTCAACTCACCTGGTTCATGCAATAAATAGTTAAGGGGTTCTGGGAAGAAGCAGCACCTGAAGTATTAAGGAAAGGCTCCCCAGGGGATGTTTAACTTGGGGTGAACTTAGAAGGATGGGTAACATTTTGACTAGGAGAGAAGAGGAAAGAGTGGGAAGTACTGGCAGTGTGCCTCACTAAACAAAGCTCAACCAGAATGGATCATAAATAAACAAGGCTGGTAGAGACTGTTCATACAGGGAGAGTGGCCTCTAGTTCCCTCCCACAGAACACAGGTTGGCGAACTCCTTTTGGCCTACAGAATGGGATTCCACCTTCTCCTCTTTTATATGTCTATTTTCTAAAAGAAGAGAGGAGTGAGGCAATTCCCGGGGATCACATTAACCCTGTGAGCACCTTTTTTTTTTTTGGCATTCCATTCAGTTCTGATGGAAATGTTTCTAAATTTATAACAGGATTTTAAGGAAGATAGCAAAGTACATGGATTCAAGGAAGCCAACTCCACCAAGTTCCCCTGATAAAAGCAGCAGAAACTCCAAAAAGAAACACCTTTTTGGGGGGAGGGAGCTCAAGAAAAAAACCTCATCTCTAAAGCTCTGTAGAAATGAAAACAGCTTTTTCTGCCATCTTGCAGCACTGCCACCATGGTGCACATGAATGTCCTGGCAGATGCTCTTAAAAGAATCAACGATGCAGAAAAGCGAGGAAAACGCCAGGTTCTCACTAGGCCGGGCTCTAAAGTAATTGTCCGGTTCTTAACTGTGATGATGAAGCATGGTTACATTGGCGAATTTGAGGTCATTGATGATCAAAGAGCAGGAAAAATTGCTGTGAATCTCATGGGCAGATTAAACAAGTGTGCTGTAATCAGCTCCAGATTTGATGTTCACTTGAAAGATCTGGAAAAGTGGCAGAATAATCTGCTACCATCCCATCAGTTTGGGTTCATTGTGCTTACAACCTCAGCTGGCATCATGGACCATGAGGAAGCAAGACGAAAACACACAGGAGGAAAAATCCCGGAATTCTTTTTCTAAGTGTGTAAAACATACGTACAAATAAAAATGCTCCAATGGAAAATTTAAAAAAGAAATGAAAACAACAAAAGAAACCCTCTGAAAGAATTTTTTAAAATCCACCATTTGCTCTATAAGAGAAACAAAGGGGAACTCAGTAAAAAAAAAAAATGATCCATCCAGCAGAATATGAACTGCTGTGATGCAAGAACCAAATCCTTTTCCCTTCTTTTATCCCCAGAACTGAGGTCAGGGACTTGAATCTAGTGACCAAGTGAACAAATGAGGTAACACACGGGAAGCATTTTGCAAATCTTAAAGAACTCTGTGGTTGCTAGATATTATTACTAAAAAGAAACATTTAATCAGTGTTTGCTGACTTGAACTTCATGCTGAAGCAAAAGCAGAAATTCAAGAAAAGGATTTCTCTCCTTTTGACACTCAGTCGCCCATTTCTCCTTCCTCTGTGGATTTCTGGGGTGCCTCTCTCCTGCTTCCCCCTACATGTCTGGGAAGCTTTTCCAGTCTCCTTTGCAAAAGGATGATGATGATGATGATGATGACAATGATGATCATAACTGACTTTACATCATGCTTTAAAATTTGCAAAGCACTTTACATACCGTATTATCTCATTTGAG